GTCTATGGTCTGTAGTAAGCAGCTGTCTCCTGGAGAAGTAATAGCTGTGAGGGTTGTGACTTTTTGTTACACTTTGTATCTTGACGAAATTGTTTGGGAGTCCATCCAAATTTGGATACACCACATGAGTCAAAGTCCTTTATCACATGGCGTTGGACCTGAGGAAAATGTTGAGAATTGTTGATCCAGGCTAGTCCACAGGTCTCTTTTCCACAATTCTCCCTCCTTCTACCCCTCCCCTGTCTAAGGCACATCAAGTTTTCACCAGACCTTAGCAAAATGAGAAAAAAAATAAGGACCACATTAAAAAACAGAAACAAAACAGACAGACAAAGGTTCTTGAGAAGGGCCAACCTTTGTTCTGCCAAACTTTCCTCTTCTAGAGTAGATGATGTATCTTCTCATGCTCTTACTCAACACAGTTTAAAAATGGCAACCCTGCATTTGCTCCCCCCATTTTAAACTGGTCAGGGAAAACTGGTCTTCTGCATCGTTTCCTGACCTCACCACTGACATCTTGGATGAATATCCCCAAGTCAGTCCTTAGGATCCTTTCTCCTCCCTTGCCAGCTTTGTTCTTCATTTGTTTGCTAGACGGCAGGGGGAGGACCAGGTGCCCAAATGCGTATCCCTGACATGGAGGGAGGCAGGCACAGGCCTAGACAGATGGCCAGACTGGTGGATGCTAGTGTTGCTGTCTTGTCTTCTCTTTGCTTGTGGCAAGGGAGAAGTCACAGAAGGTGCTGTCAGAAGAATAGGTCTGGGTTCAGATCCCATTGTTGGCTGTGCACCCTCAGGCCAGCCATAAAAACTTGCTGAGCTCCTTGCCTTGTGTGAGAACTGGGAGCTGGATGTTTTCCTTACAGGTTGTCACAAGGAAGAAATGAGACACATTGTGAAATCACAGTGTAATCACACCACTATCACCTTGGCCCCTGGCCCAAACAAGTTGCACAGAATTTTTGTGTGTGATTCTTTCCTCCTTCAGTACTAACCCAGTGATGTGTACATAGTGGGAACTTGGGAAATACTGGTTTGTTTGGCTGAATATTTAAATGTATAACTGGCTGGCATATGAAGGTTATCACAGTTTCCCTTCCACTATGCCAGTAACAGGAGCTGATGCTGTTTACTGTGAGGTAAAGTCTATTCTTATTCACAATTTCCAGAGAAGAAAAAGGAGACTTAGGAGTTAAGCACTTGTCCGAAACAGAACCAAGATGTGACTTCAGATCTGCTATAGAGCCTGTGCTCACAACCCTCATAACCTGTTCCTTGTGTGTCCTTCAGTCTCTCAGATGCACGATGAGTGGTAAAGAGTGGCAAGCCATGATCTAAGGGCCAAGAATGTTCCAGACATTGAGTGGCTGCCCCCCACCAGGGGACTGGCAGATACTTCTGGTCTTGTTTCCCAGAATCCATTCATTTCCCCCCCCATCCCTCCCACCTGCCCTAACCCTCTTAAGGATTCTTCCCAAATGCTTCAGCAGCAAAATAATAGGTAGTAATGGAGGTCAGTGACACAAACAAACAAACACAAGAGATAGTGAGACAAGGAACACTGGCTTTGATAGGCAATGAGAGAAAGAGTCCTCGTCTGTGCCTGTGTCGCCTAGGCAAGGCCTCCCACTCGACACGGTGAGGCTGTGTCAAGCATGCAGACAGGCCCTTGGGTAAGGAGGGAAAAGAACAAGGCTGCCCCTTGCTTTGTGCATCAGGATGGCCAGATGGGATGAGGTCAAGCTTCAGTACCCCGCAGATTCAAGTATCCTGGCCCCTGGGCACACTTACATTATTAAAAGTCTCTTTTAGGCTTGTGACTTCTTTCTGGCCTGAAGCATTCAGGCACACACTCATTTGTGTGGAAGATTGATAAGGTTATTAAAACCTCTAGTTCTGCTATTTTTGGTAACATTCTTTCAGCAGGGTTTTTTTTTTTTTTTAATCATAGCTGAATGACTGCAGCTGTACTATAATGATATGGTGCCATAAAAAATTCTCCTGCCCTCCTGTATTTGAAAACACATCATCTATAACTATTCCTTTTGATTCTATGAGCCTCAGCCCTTTGGATTCCCAGAAGTATCTATAGTGGTTAGGAAAGCTCTGTGCAATCATAGTCTTTAGTAAACTTGGTTGAATAATGTTGGCCAAATCTTAGCTAATAACATGGAGGCAGTAGAGAACAGTGTAATGATATTGATGCAGAGGTTTAAAATCTCAGAATGCTCGCATGCATATAATTGGGGCTACAGCAGCTTTGAAATTGAAGAAGGATTTAGTATCCCATTTCATAGAGAAGGAAACTAAGGTAAAATTACTTGTCCAAGGCCACAAAGCAAAGAAGTGAGCAAAATTATCTGTTATTGGACTGGTATCGTACCTAAACATTCTGGCCCATGGTGCTGCACAGCTCTCTCCAAGCTGCTGCCTGGACAACTGTCCTAGTGGCTTTTTCCCTTTTGTTCCTGAAGCATGGGCTTTGGTGATCCCTCTGAAGCCTTGTGATAGATTTTTTAGCAGGATTCTATGTATTGCAGCTAAGTTTAAGCAGCTGTCACCGACCCTGACCTTGAGGGCAACACGTGCACAGTTGGCTCTCTGTTCCCCTCCTGGCTTCTACATACCACCACTTTTGAGCCTTGAGGATGAATCAAATTGAAATATTTAGGAGGAAGATACCTAAGCAACTGCTTCTACATTTTAAGCTGTTCCCACTCGAAATAAATCATAACGCCCTTTTCCTCTTATCAATGTAGCCACCACCTCTGTCACACCTTGATGAATGTGGAGGAGGAGGTAATAAAGTAGCTGTTACTAAAACTAGGAGGACAGGATGGAATTGGAGATGAGCCTTAACATTAATGAGCAAAGAGAAAGTGATTCAATGGACTTTGTGAAATAGGAAACCTGGCCAGAAGTACAATGAGATTGCGCTTGGTACCTTGCCAGGTTATATGTAGAGACAAAAACTGCTAATATCTGAATGGTACAAATGCCCAGAATTGATGAGGTAATAGGAGCCATCTGTCCATTAAGTAATCAGAAAATGCCAGCGTCATGGGGTAGTGGAGTCCATGTCTGGCTTCCAGCTTCACTCAAAGGAGCCAACCAAATGGAAGGCACTGAGGGCTTCTACAGCAAGGGGAGAGGGGTTAAGTCGAGAGCTCTTCCCTGAGAGAGTACCCAGGAAGCTCAAGGCCTGGCCAAACCAAGGTCCAGTTAACAGTAGACACTGAAAGGGAAGATAGAGCATGCATCTCCCTGCTGCAATCACAGGAGCTGCACTGGCTGCACAAACGTGTTCTGAGTCCCTGATGCATGTTTGTGGGGAGGCTGTGTGACTAGGGGTTAGCAGTGCCCATGCTGGCTGAGTGACCTCAGGCCACTGACCTCACAGCTTCATGCCTCTGCCCTTGCAGAAATTAACGCCTGGGGTTGTCGGAGTGACAAGCTGTGTAAAGGCATGTGGCACACTCAGAACAGTGCTGGCACATGGGAAACCTACCAGCTGTCACTTGTTATTACCTGCCTGTTACTGTATTAAGCATCTTGGAGTTCAGTGGCTATGCAATGAAAGTAACTTCCCTTGAAAATGTGAGAAGTGGCTCAGCGCCTATAGCTCAACCGGCTAAGGCGCCAGCCACATACACCTGAGGTGGCGGGTTCGAATCCAGCCCGGACCCGCCAAACAACAATGACGGCTGCAACCAATGACGGGCGTTGTGGTGGGTGCCTGTGGTCCCAGCTACTTGGGAGGCGGAGGCAGGAGACTCGCTTGAGCCCAGGAGTTGGAGGTTGCTGTGAGCTATAATGCCACGGCACTCTGCCCAGGGGGACAGCTTGAGGCTCTGTCTCAAAAAAAAAAGAAAAAAAGAAAATGTGAGAAGTACAGGAATGACATCATTTGGCTGTATTTGTCCAACACGAGATCATTAAAAAGGGCTTAACAATGCGGTGATCTGTAGTCATTTGTGTCAGAAGTCCTGAGATTAGAAGCCCTTTGAATCACAGGGTAAATTGAACTGTAGGATAAAAGACAAACACCAGGATTTCTACCAGTGCTCCCAGGCATCTAGGATCTACACCCATCTCCTTAGGAAATATCCCATCTGTTATTAAATAGATTGGGGGGGAGGGAAGGCAGGGAGGAACCTTACATATGTGTAAGGTATAACTTTGCTGTCATGTCCACATGCATTGTCTTATTTGACCCCCCTGGACTCAGCAGTAGGGGAAGAGCAGTTTACTGAGTGCCAACCACGTGCCTGACACTGTTAAGTTGCTTTATATATGTTGTCTCTTGGATTCTCATAATAGCCCCATGAGATAGACATGACTGTCCCTGTGTTACCAGTGAGGAAACTGAGGTCCAAGGCCATACTACTGGTGGGCAGTTGAACCAGCACCAGCGCCCAGGCCTCCCAATTCCTGGGCCAGCCAGACAGGACTAGGTGGCCAGAAAAGGAGTAGGCAAGAACAGCTAGGGAGCCTGGTGTGCCAAGGAGGACATGGAGCAGCACCATTTCCATTCTCCCACAGACCAGAGGCCTGCAGAGGGGGCTCCTTGCTTGCCAATAAACACAGATTATCAATGGTGACCTGAACATTTAACTTCCTAATGAAGTTGGGAAGATGTCACCTAGGAATTAGGGACTGTGTATTTGTGTGTGTGTGTGTGTGTATTTGTGTGTGGTGGGCATGCAGAGAAGCGTTTGTTAATTGCTAGCTCAAGGCTGCATCCTGCAGGCCTGGCCCGCAGTCAGTATTTGTCTTGATAATGACAGTGTGGGCTTGCAGCATCATACCAGTGTGTTCTTAACCAGGTCCCAGCATCTCATGTTGACTCATCCTCCTGTCTGCAGACTTGCTGGCCATTTGGAAAAGGATGTGGAGGAGTTAAGACGGGGAGGTGTCAAATTGTTACTGAGACATTTCTAATTTGTGATGTATGGTTTTAAAGCCAACTCTTTTCTCCTGGTTTTTCCTGTTTTCTACAGCACCCCTTGGGAAAGACATTTTCTGCTCCCGCCAAGTTGGCAGGGCCTGCTTCCTGAATCTTCCGGGTGTGTCTTAATTGCCAATCCCAGCACCTGAAAGCCCCACTCTCTCCTCCAGTGGTCACAGTGGAAGGATCATGGGAGAAACAGAAGGGAAGAAAGATGAGGCTGATTATAAGCGACTGCAGACCTTTCCTCTGGTCAGGGTAAGATCCAGGGGAGGGAGGCAGGATGGCCAGCAGGGCCCACACAGCCTGGAAAGAGGTAGGTAGAGCCTGTGCTCTGTAGGATGGCAGTGGGAAGAAGTTAAGAAGGGCTTTGCTGGCTCAGACCTAGATATCTAGGAGTCAACAGTGATTCATTCTTTCATTCATTCATTCATTTGCGAAGTACTTATTTAGGCCACCCACTATTTACCAGGCACTGTTCTAGGCACTATGGAAATGGTAGATGAGACAGACAAAGACCGGGCCTGCATGATAGCTAGATAGATTGCAGGCAGTAAGTGCTATAAAGAAAAGTAAAGCAGATGTAAGGGGCTAGAGAGCAGAGGCTTCAGGAGGGGTTTCTCAGATCAGAGTCCAGGATGAAGTTAGGAAGCAAGCCTTGCAGTGGTCAGGGGAGGATGTGCCAAGCAGGGAAACGGGCACAGGAAGCCTGAGGTGGGAATGAGCTTAATATTTTGGAGAAACAGTGAGAAGGACAGTGTGGCTAGAATGGAGTGCTGAGGGGTGGTAGGATGTGAGGGTCGAGTGGTGGTGGGGCCAGAGCCCACGTGCCTGGCTGGCCGCAGTGAAGGCTATAGTAACAAATGTGGGTTCTATCCTGAGTTGAAAGGGGAACAGTGAAAGGGTTTATGATGTGATCTGTTTTGTGTTTTTAAAAGATCCCTCTAGCTATTGTGAGGGGAATAGAGTTCAGGGCACCATGGTGGAAATGGAAAACTAGTGAGGACACTATTGCAGAGCCCAGAGAGATGAGGGTGGCTGGGTCCAGGTCATAGCATGGAAGTGTTAGATGTGATCGGATTCAGGATATACCTTGAAGGTAGAGGCTGTAGGACTTGCTGATGGCTTGGTGCTAAGAATGGGGAAATCTAGTTTAGGATGACTTCTACTGTCTGTTTTTTTCCCTAAATAATGGGAGGGGGAAAATGGTGTTAATTATTAGTAAAGGGAAGATGGAGGAAGAATGGGTTAGTGGGGACATTGAAAGTTATTTTTTAGACATCTAAGTGAGATTATCAAGTAGGCAGCTGGACTGAGTTGTCCAGAGGCAGGAGAAAAAACAGAGCCTCAAGAACAGCCTCTTCACGCTTCTGGGGTAAGATTGAGCTAGAAACCATTTCCATAGCCAGCATTCCCTCTGTGCCTGGGCCGGTCTCCTTCCCAAGTCTGTTGGCTGGAACATGATGTCCTTGAAGCTTTCTGCCTTTGGAGAGGGGCTGGGGCTGGAGAGCTCATGTGGCTCAGCGAGGTTCCCCTCCCCTCCTGCCCCAACAATAGGCCCCCAGCCAGGAGACAGGTTACCCACCCAGGCTGTGCCAGGGAAGCTACTTGGTGTCCATGCCTTAAGCTTGGGACAGAGAGGCCAGCCAGGAAGGCCAGGTCATGGGCTAAGCCTCTCTCTGTTTGTCACCCCTGCCCTGTCTCTAGCACTCGGACATGCCAGAGGAGATGCGAGTGGAGACCATGGAGCTATGTGTCACAGCCTGTGAGAAATTCTCCAACAACAACGAGGTATTGCCATCAGTGCAGGCGGCCCCTCGTGCCTTTGGTGACCCCTGTGGGTGAATAGAGTGGCCCAGTTCCCTGCAGTAAAGAGTTTTGCTGGGACAAGGCTAGAGCCTCCCTTGGAAGCATTCAAGGTTTAGGGAGAGAGAAGCAGCTGGTTCTGACTGCAGGCACTGATGGTCATGGTCAGTCCTAGAGGGAGGAAAGCCATTGGGATCTCCATAATGCCCTGCCCTTGCTCCCCATTCAGCAGCTGCATAGGGTGCCTTTCCCTGTGGCTCCATCCCACCTGTGAACAGAGGCCTGCCCAGGCACCCATTCATGTCTTCGTTCATCCATGTAGGAAAGAGGCCAGACACATCTCTGTGCCGGGCACTGTTCTAGGTGCTGGATGTCTAGCCAGTAGGCATTGGCACAGGAATGTCATTCATCAGTCCGTGGTAAGCGGGAAAGAAGTCAGTGTCGTGGCAGTCATCAGGGAGGCAGACCCTGGCCAATGAGAGTCCAGGCGTTGGGTCAACCAGGATCAAGTTCATATCTTGCCTCTAGCCCTTCCTAGCTGTGTTCCCTTAGACAAGCCATTGCTCATCTCTAAGCCCAGTTTGCTAGTCTATAAATGAGGGATGGAGAATGATGTTTCCTCACTGGGCTAGTCCTTTAGTGAGGACTTATTTACTGGGACAATGAGGACAAAGTGCACAGCGTGGCACCTGGCACAATGGTGGTGCTGTTAAGTGCACATCGGGTGCCTGCACATGGGACTCTGCAAAGCTGGGTGGCCTGCCTGTCCCTTGGTCTCTTCATGTTGGTGAGAAGTTTTTTGAAAGAACGAGCATAGGAAGAAGTAGGCCATGGCCATGGCTGGGGGAAGCAGCCACTCGTCCCTGGAGCCCACCGAACCCAGTAGGCAGCACGCGGCAATGATAGTAACCTTCACAGCCTGCAGGCGCTCGCCCTTCTATTTTCAGCTGGTCCTGAGAACAGTTTCCATTTTCCAGTTGAGAAACCTGGAACCAGAACCTGGCACTAAGTGTGAGGCAGGACTCAGACCCGGTCTGTCTCAGGCCTGATGCTCACCTTTCTGCCTCAGCCAGGTTCTTCCTGACTGCTAAGGTAAAGTCTAGCTTTCTGTCGCTGTGTGATAGCCCTGGCAGGAGGTGACCTGTATGGAAACCTGGTGTAACAGTTCTATGAGCAAGACAATAGAAATAGGACATGAGGCCTCTTCTTGCCAAGATCTCAGTGCCAGACTTCTCCCTCCTGGAGAGGGACCTGACTCATGCCCACTCTCTCCCCACACCCCCTCTGATGAGCGCCTTCTTCATTCCAGAGCGCGGCCAAGATGATCAAAGAGACGATGGACAAGAAGTTCGGCTCCTCCTGGCATGTGGTGATCGGCGAAGGGTTTGGGTTTGAGATCACACATGAGGTGAAGAACCTCCTCTACCTGTACTTTGGGGGGACACTGGCTGTGTGTGTCTGGAAGTGTTCTTGATGCCCTGTCCCCGGCCCCCACCTCTGTCCCCAACCCCTGCAGGGCCTTCCCCTGCCACTTATCTGGGTTGGGGAGCAGCCCCAGGCAGGTCCTGGGTTTTCCAAGGAGAGTTTGGGGTCTTTTCTTTCTGTCCTGTGTACCAGTATCCTGAGCCATGCCAGTGTGTGAACTTGTTGACATCTCTATCCCCAGGCTCTCTCAGTTGTCTCACTCGGAGTACGAGGTGACCACACCACAAAGTGTGCCAGGGTAAAGGAGGTGGGGAGATGAGATTTTTGTCATAAGGATGTGCCAGGCCCCCCTTCCTTGAGGACTGCCCTTCCCTCGCATTCCCAGAGCCCCACTTCCCTTCTATCCCAGTACTGCGAGGAAGTGTCCACTGTCCTTGTCATCAGTGGTCATATGAAAATAGCCCCAAGGAGGAGCCTCTCCTCTGAAGGGACATAGGCAGCTTCTCTCCTTATCCTCTGGGGAAGTGCTGATCCTGAAGAAGCCCCTCCCCTGACTTGACCCCAGGCTGAACAAACCACCACATCTCACTGGCAACAGCTCCACAGCCCTGGCTTTGGCCTAGAGACCAAGCAGCTTTTCTTCTGTCCCCCTTCACCCACCAGTGTGAACCCTCCACACTGCCTCAGTTTCAAGCCAGGGGCCAGGGGTGAGAATTGCCGCTGAGCAGTTCCTCAAGATGTCACTGAGCCTCTGGTGAGACACCTGGGCCAGGAGTGCTCTCACCGCCAGGCCCACTTCCGCAGGGAAACCTGGCCTGCCAGTTACTTCTCGTCAGGGACCGCATGCTAATTTGTACTTCTTATCTCTGCTGGGTTTTCTATGTTCTTTTAGAGTGTGGGGAGAAGGGTTTTAGTAGAAGGGTGAAACGTATTTTACATAGCGGTCTTATTTATATAAATGTCTTGGTTTTTCAATAAAGTTACCAAAAAATGACCTTGTCTATAGTCTGTTAAGGTTGGGAGAAGATGTGATCAGCTCAAGCCAGCAGTGTTTCTAGCTAAATAGTGGCTAACCTGGCCCCAGGCCCAGCCCCACTCACCCTGCCCCACCCTTCTCACCCTTATGTCACTGAGATTGGAGACCAAGTGTAGTTGAATGGGGCCACATGGACACCGAGATATCCTGAGTGGCCAGACTGAGCTACTATAGAGATGGTCCCAGGTCTGCACAATTTAGCTTAGTTCAACAGATGTTATTCAACAGCTCCCAAGTGTCAGGCCCCAAGAACTGAGCAGAGGAAGGTAGAAAAGCCACAGATCTGGCCCTCAGTGAGCTCAGTCTGCTGCACAGGAACAAGTGATGTGAAAAGTGACATTATAAAGGACAGGGCATTGGCGAGAGGGAAGAAGGGCCTCCAAGCCCAGACCCAATGCCAGGATCTCCAGCAAGATGAGGCCTAGAAGCTAACACTTCAGACAAGAGCGGGATTTTACCAGGGCAAAATGTTGCTTCAGCCCAGGGACAGTCTGAGTGAAGGAAGGCGTTAAGAAGTGGCCAGGGAATGAGGGGACTCATTCTAGGACCAGGAACACCCTGAAGTTCAGGGGTTGCCCCCAAATCTGAGCCTCAGACCTGAACATGCTGGGCCCAGGCAGAGCAGGGCAGTCTATCTTCCCCTGGTGCACAGGGACCTCCTGAGGTGTCCTACCTAGGACATTCTGGCCAGGGAGCCCAAGGCCCTGGCTTAGTCTTGCCTTCTGAGGTTGAGTGTCCCGTGTGACGAGATCTGTCAGCAGATCGCTGGGCAATGTTGTTCAGAGATAGTGCGGCCAAGGAGGGTGAATGCTACTGTGTGCTGCCTCCTGGGACAGACAAGAGCAAAGACACGGTCACTGCCCCAAAGCTGACTACCCGGTCGGCTGGCCTGAGGATCTCACCTCAGTGCGGGTCCTGGCCCTCCAGGACTTGGTGGGTAGGGCAGCCCCTGGACCTCAGGCCTGTCCTAGCCAGAGCCCTGTGCCACTCCAGATACTGTGAGGAGTTGGCAAGCCTCAGATAGGAGTGGAGGAGAGGGGCGGGGGCGGCCCAGGAGGAGGGCAGTGGGCGCCGCGGTCGGGAATAGCCACGTTGTTAACCGCCCGCTTCGCATCTGTTCTCTCTTTTCATCTGCTGCATGTGGGTGCCAAAAAGTGAGGCTGGCTCAGCCTGCACCCTAGGTGGCGGGGGTGGCGGGGAGGGGTGTGTGGGCTCTGAGGTCCAGCCCTGCTCTTCCTAACCTTTCTGTGACTCAGTTGCTTTGTCATAAGGCTGTTGGGAGTTTTAGGACTGCATCTGAAACAGGTAACACATCAAGGGTGTGTGCTGTGTCCTTGCCACCTGTAGATAGGGGGCTGACAGCTCCCCCAGGACTGGGTAGGAATTCAGTGAGATTGGAGTTGTGTGGTGTCTGGCCCTCACAGGCATGCAATGTAGTGACACACTGGTGGTGAGCACCCCTTCCACTTTAGCCACTGCGGCAGGCCCTCCTCACTTACCTTCGCAGAAATGGGTCATTAGCCCCTCCCTGTCGTGCTCCCAGAGGGTGGGATGGTCACTGCTGGGCCAGGTCAGGTGACCGGGCATCATAGCATGTGTGCTTCCCAGGGGTTTCTTTCCTTGGCAATAGCGACTTTATTTCCCTCTACTCTGTAAGGCAGGCGTCCTCAAACTACAGCCCGCCTAGAACATTTATCCGGCCCGCCGGGTGTTTTTGCTGCCGCTGCCTGTCCTGCTTAGTAGCCAACTCATCCCGGGGCCCGCAGTCTGGCCCTCCAATGGTCTGAAGGACAGTGAACTGGCCCTCTGTTTAAAAAGTTTGAGGACCCCTGCTCTAAGGCCTGTGCTAGCCAGAGTCACCCTGGCCTTGTTCCCAGGGCCTTGCTGCCCATTGCTAGTGATGAAACAAGCATTTGCTGGTGGGCTGAAAAGGAGAGACAGTACAGTGGAAGAAGTGCCATCGTGCTAGCCAGCGGCTCACAGTCTATTTAGGGGACAGACCCAGGAACAGAAAAGCAGGACACACTGAAGTAATTAGATAGACGCGAGAAGGTGAAGTTCAGAGAAGGAAGCAACTCTTACGGCCAGTGGACTGGGGAAGCCTTCACAGAGAAGGTGGCATTGACCTGGGCCTTGGCATTTTCTGAGGGAGGGATGAGATGCAGTGGCTAGGGGATGGTCACCATGGTTTGAGGGAGCCACAGCATGTGCAGAGTGGCAGCTCCCCGGTGCTCACAAGGTGTTCAAGGAAGTCAGACAGTGGCGAGTGGATCAGGAGAGGATAGGGTGGGGCAAATGGGCTGAGGGTGAAGAATGTGGCTGGAACTTAGGAGGAAAGAGGCTTTTGTCTGTCGACTGTGCCCCACTTGGCAGCCCTGGCCTCCCTCTCTCAGCACCATGATGTTTTATAACCCTGAGCACAGCGCCAAGGTAGGAACTTCTGCCCCATCATAAATGGAGAAACCAAGGCTCAGAGGACAGAGTATCTATCTAGGAAGTGGCTCTAGCCAGGACCTGAACCAGGCTGCCAACCCTATGGTCCCTACTCTTCTGCCACATGCCACATTCTCAGGCCTCCTATCTATCTCCCACCCAGCAGGATCTGAGGCCCTACAGCCTGGCCATGCCTGGTCCACCAGTCTCCTAGCCGCTTCCTCCTGCCATCCCCAGGACACTCCCCTGTGTCCTCTGCTCTAGCCATAGCAATGCCGGTGCTTACTTAGCGGAGGCGGCAACCTCAGGCCTGCAGCCGTGGTTGGCCCTCCCTGCCCGCTACCTTTCTGCTGCCCTCTGTGGTGTGGACAGCAGTAGCCTGTCCTTCTAACACCACAGGACAGCAGTAGCCTATCCTAACACCACAGTCCCCTCTGCTGGGCCTAGCTAGAAGCAGGAGGAATCAGTAACCTTTCCTGACCTATCTCGAGGTTGTGTCACAGGCCCCAACCCTTCAGGGCCCCGTGTTGCCTGGGAAGGCACTGAGTACCCCGGTTAGGTCAGAGTGAAACACTGGTCCCTCTACAGTACCCCCACACAGGCTCCACACTGTGGCATCACCAGGAGTGGGGGGCATGGACCTGCAGCGAGGCAGTCAGATGAGGTGAAGGGTGAGGACTTGGAACAAGGCCCTGTGGCAACCACGGAAGTAGGCAGGCTGCCAAGGGGACAGCTGCCCTGGAGAAATCTGGTGAGTAGCTCATGTTGCCTTGGAAGAGGGGAGAGAACCTCCCGCGTCTTGCTTAACCTACTTCCTGCTTCTCCAGAGGACTGTCCCTCCAGGCAGGCAGGGGATGTCCCCTTGGGTTGTGAAGTCCCAGCCCAAACCAGCATCTCCATCTCCAAGCAGTGACTAAGCTTAGCAGAAAAAGCTTCATTCCTGAAGAACAGGTGTCAGGCAGCATCTGAGGGTGTCCTGCAGACCCTCCCCCTGAGTTTGGGAAGGGGGCTGTCAGAGTGTTGGCGCAAGCCACCACCCCGTCCTATTTTCCTTTTGTTCTCAGCTCATATTTAAAGCAACCACCTCCCACTGCCAGCTGCCGTCTTCAATCCTTAGAAAGGCCGTGGGGTGGGAGGAGAGTGAGCCTTAGAGGCAGAAGATTTAAATTGTTATTAATGATGCTCTCAAACTATGAGGTGCCCTGAATGTGCCAACCATGGCACTAAGCCTTTTATATACCTGATCTTGTCTGATTCTTACCTCCATTCTGTAAGGCGATACCATCGGTGTACCCCTCTTACAGATGAGAAGTTGAGTCTAGAGAGCAAGGAACAGGCCTGCAACACCAGAGCCTCCAGCTCCTGCACCTGTTTGGTGGCTGCCTGCCAGCTTGGACAAGCTACTTGGCTTCCCAGGTCTCATTTTCCTTACCTGAAAGACAAGATTTGCAGATCCAGCCCTACCTCCTCCCCAAAGTTACTGTAGAGCCCAGGGAGAGAGTGGGTGTGAATGTGACTGTACTTTAAAATTAGAAGGGCTGATCAGGGATTTGGACCAGGGCCATTCTGAGAAGCTACCCCCCACCTCAGGCCTCCACTCTGGGTATGAAGCTTAGGAGTCTGGAAGGTTGGACTGCCTGAGACAGCCAAAGCTGGTGACCACAAACACACACACCCAGGGCCCCAGACAGCAGGGACCAGACCCTGTCACTTCACCCTGAGCCTGGAAATACAATCCCAGCAAGTGTCTATGAGGACTTGGCTGTTGACTCAGCAGTGACCACACTGAGTTTGTTCTTCCAGCCTCAAAATGGCTGGCAAAGCATGCAGGTGGTTTCATGAGGATCCTTCCCTAACAGAGGGGAAATGGTGTCAGGCAGAACCTGCTATGTGCCAGAGCAGGAGCTGGCCTTGGGCTAAGGGGCACCACTGCATACCAGCTGCTTGGAGACAGAGCCCAAGTGATGCAGCACCCCCAGACACAGTCACTTTGTGCCCCCACTGTGCCACATCTCCTGTCATTGTGTCTATACCTGCTATACTTGACTTGCTGGGACTGTGTCACCTCTCTGTACATTCTGATGGCCAGCCCAGGGCCTGGTATGTATGGAAAATGCATCATGACTAGCAAGTGAGTGAATGAAAGGATGGGTGGATGGATGAGTAGGTGGGCAGTTAGAAGGATGGGTGTGGATTAGTGAGTGGGTGGAAAGTCTTCTCTAGGAGGCATATGGGCAATGGCAAGGTCAGGCGCTAAACTTTGTCCTAAGACTTCTGATGACCTTTGCTAAATTTCCAGTCCCATTATAAAAACCCACGAGGTTGTTTGGGACTCACAAAGTTTCTCATCTTTGGCCTGGTTCCTAAGAAAAGGTGTAAATCCAGAAACAACACAAGTGGATCCCCACAGGTGGAAGTGCAACAGGAGGGAACACTGGTTTGGCAGTCAGACCCGAGCTCTAAGGCCAGCTCCATCCCCTGCCGGCCACGTGGACTTGAATGAGTCCCTTCATCTCCTGAGCCCC